GCCCCATCCCTCTCTGAAATCACACCTTGGATGCATAAACATGCCTGTGCTCCACTCATCACCCCACCCTGGGGTTGGGGGGGTCTGCCTGGCTTTAGTGCTGCACTGTGACACCAATCAGGGAGATGGCGGGCTCCTTTGTCATGCAAACAACCACTCGCTTCTTGTCTTATTCAAATGTCTGCCCTCTCTCTTTCTCCTCTCCCTCACTCTCTCAACCCTTGCCTCACCCCTTCTACCCCCACAACTCCCACCACCACCCTCGAACCCCACCCCGCCCGACTTCTTCAGTCTCTCCCTCCTTCTCAAGTCCAAGTAAATCCTTGCTGAGAGAAGAGGGAGCCTCCAGGCCTGAAGCTGCTGAGGCAGGCCTCTCTCTTGTGGGTCAGCCTGCACCTCAGCGCATGGGGCTGTTTCCAGGACCAAGCAAGTCTACTCATATTCAAATGTTACAATCAGGCCCCTGACCCACGGGGGGGCTCTTTATGATTGCAGCTCCGGGTCGTAGGGTCAAGATGGTGATTTAATAGCTCAGGCAGAGGTAAAAAGTGGGGGAGCAAACTGATTTAGGGGATGAATGAGTAATGAAAAAGCATTTTTCCTAAGTTGTCATGTAAATTTCAATCCTTATTCAATACGAGGCTCCCTCCACACACAAGAGACCGTCCTCTCTGGCTTTCTAGTGGACTTTAACCACTCAAAATTAAGAAAGTCCATTTTCTGCTTCCACTCTTGACTTGTGCTTGGTGTAAACAGTAGCTGTTGGAGAAGCGGCCGAGGCTTAGGGATGGAGATAAAGGAGACGTTAAGGAGTCACCATGTTAGTATGGTGCCACTGAGTCTCAGATGTCCTCACAGTCYTGAGTGGCCTGTTATTCCTGTCTCTGTGGGTGTGTTCTCAGCACTGCAGCTCGAGTAACATAGGCAGTATTCAGTGTTTATATAAGTTTGTACGACAAAGATGGATCTCGCAGTGATGTGGCCGTGCTCCATGACGAGTGTRGAGGGTTAATTTATTTATTCAGGAGGTTAAAATGAATTTGAGACAGACATATATAGGTCTGATGGTATTTAGTTGTGAACCTGTCCAGCGAGTACCCCAAATCTYGCTCTGTTGGAGACAGACAACAGTTCCCTGAGGCCCAGAGAAGAGAAACGGRTAAAGAAAATGACTGACTGGGTGAAGCTCTTCACTGAATTGAATCATTTCAACAAACCCTCCTATTTCAGTTTTTTAATTGAATCAGTACCTTCAGCTGTACTTGATAATTACACCTGTAGTGCACTTGATATTGGCTCAGACTTGCTTTTCCTCAGTTGAGTTGGTGAATTAGAGTAACTGTGCTCCACTGATGTTTGCTTTTGTTCATACRCTCTTAACTCAAGGTTGAGACACAGAGTAAATTGATCTTATTGTAATCATTCCGAAACTGAAAACTAACTTGTTGAATACTTTTACTTTTTTCTCATTGTCAACTTGTGCTGTTGAGTCAAAGCAGAAAKGAAATACAAGAAAAGTTTGTATCTGAAGAATCACTAAAAAGTCATTAATAAAGCATTCAGTGATAATAGTAGATTACTGACATTACTGATATTTCCCTAATCTATTTGTCAACACACCTCTGATACAGAACTCCACATAACTTCTAAATGTTTTGTTTTTTTCTCTGAGATTCTTTATTTTCCTTGAAATTCTTTGATTGTTACGCAGTTAACAAACACCAAACTAATTGGGACTRCTTCTTTATTTGGTGGTTTCAATTTTGTTTCTTAGATCATCACTAATGTGTTAACACACYAGAAGGCAAACTGCCAAATTTTCTGCTTTCTTTAAAGGAGCACCTGGCTGCTACACTCTGAATTCCTATGAAAGCAGAAAGGATGGACTTAGATTTTATGTTTTTGATTTTATTCATACATCTTSAAGGTTAAACATCAGAAACCCGGTCTTCTGGTGTCCTGATGCATCTCAGTAATCCAGGTAAAAAA